GTCCAGTATAATTTTTTTGCTAAAAGAGTTATCTCCCCTTAAATAGCTAAGTTGAAAAAATTGATTCTGAAACACAAATGTTTGGTATTTGTTTAAATATTTTGATTAATGCAATAAATCAGCAAGTTTTCTTCATATAAATAAACAGTCCAACCAATAAAATTGCACATCTGTCTACAAATTTGCAGATTTAGGCAAATAACTAGACTGATTGTGTACTGCGATAGTATAATCCAAAATGGCGGTATACCATGAATCTACCATAAATGACTTCAAATGTAAATCTTAACTAGGCATGTAACAGTTACAGTTAGATGTTAATTCCCCATGAAAATATTGAGATTTGCTTTTGCAGCCTATGAAAAATAGCTTTCATGAATTAATTCACATTTGAAAAATAACTTTCATTTATAAATGCATATTTACAGAACTTTTAAATTATGTATATTTCTGTTAGGATGTGCTATTCCTAAATTGATGACATGTGTTCAGATGCTTTCAAATTTGGTAACAGAGGATTTCGAAGGATATCCTTCTTCTCAGCAAATTATTACATTTTGTCCGTAAGTATATATTTCTTACACAATTCTTCTGAAAATTGTATTTTAATATGACATTAACAAAGAGGTTTCACTTTATTGTTATTACCATTAAAAATTATGAATTTGAAGGAGATTTTTGGTATATGTTAATCATGTTAATGATTAAGTTACCCAACAACACAATAAAGTAAATTCAAAACAAAAAACACTCCAAGTAGTAAATCTTAATTATAATATGATGTGCTTCGTTGGCTTCGTAAACAACCCGTCAGAGTTCTAGTTCGACATAATAGTAATTCCCATTACGCCACCTATTTTTTCAATCGCAAAAATGAGAGCCATTGTTGGGATGACGCGCTGCCAATTTAGCTCTTGAAAACCGATAACTTCATCCACATAGTATCATTACCATTCTTAAATGCCAGTTGTATGTTAAAAGAAAAATGTATCTACTAGCTATTAAACATCATGTCATGATCTTTTATGCCTTTTATCAATGTAAAACTATAGTCTGATCGGTTGTCAGTGTGAATTTTCGAAAATTCTAAAAATTAAACATTTCATGGAAAAAAAATAAAATAACAAAAATACCAAGGAAAATTCTAAACGGAAAGTCCCTTATCAAATGGCAAAATTTAAAGCTTAAACACATCAAATGAATGAAAAACAACTATCATATTCCTGACGTGGTACAGGCATTTCCTTATGTAGAAAATGGTGAATTAAACCTGGTTTTATAGATTACTAAACCTCTCACTTGTATGACAATCTCATAAAATTCCATTATATTGACAACGATGTGTGACCAAATCAAACAGGCATAATAGGTAAACATTTCAAAAATAAGGGTACATCAGTCAACATTGTGTTATAATCTTAATCGCTATATAAAAAAAAACATGTCAACAAAGGAAAACAAAATGGCATATAGGCAAAACACATTCGCAGAAATGAAAGACAAGAAGGGCAGACTTAATATTTTCAGCAGAGGTTGAAGACGAACTACCCTAGAGAATACACACAAAAAATGAAAGTTTTTTGAAGATATGCATATTTAAGATCCACTTGTAAAGTCTTTCGTCAACTGCTTTTTGTTATTATGTATTATTTTTTTTCAAATACACCTACACTATAACACATTAGAAAGGTATTTCGCTTGACCCATATATTTTCATTTTTGATACTGCGAATTTTTAATGTTATCATATCAAAATATAGCATAAATATATAAAAATAATCCGAACGAGATGATGTATCACATATTAATGCTTTATATGTTTTCAAGACAAAAAAGTCAACTCAAACACGACTGAACATAAAAAGGTGTACCCGACTTTCTCTTTTCGATTAGATTATTGCCTTTTTGGTGGATTTTTTCCCAGAGAACTGCTGCCGGGGGCAGAAATGCAAATTACTGCTATACCATTTGATAAGTTATTTTCTGATTTGAATTTTCCTTGGAGTTTGGAATTTTGTTATTTTACTTTTTTTAAAGATCGTTCTTTTATCTTTCTGTGGAATTTTTTTTCGGTGAAATGTATGATTATGCACAAAAAAAGATCCACATGTATCTACAATAATCGACTGTTTAGTGACATTTTTTCTTTAATTTAAAAATTTACAAATATCTCAAAGCTACATAGTAAAACATAATTATAAACACGTATATAAGATGCAAAAATAATTTAAGCACCTACATTAAACTTTTAAACCCCAAAGAAACAGATGTAAACAATTCAATTATACCAACTTGGCCATTTTCACCTTCTCTAATAAAGGGTTCTATTTCTTTCAAGTGGAATTCAGCCTGCAACTTTGTGATACAATTCTCAATGTATATTTATATATAACTTAGCGGAGACTCGGAGATATCCATATTAATGGATGTTACAAATTACATCCTTCGTAAATCCTCGTTATCGTTACCAATATGCAAACACTAAGTCGATTTTGCTGTGTTCAATTTCAAATTGGAAAAAGACCTACAGATACGCTATTCCTATTATAATGCATAACAAAAATAATTAATGCATAAGAGCTTAGAGAATGTGTAAAAAATCAAAATAGAATTAAATTCCACGAAACTTCATGAATTATTTTGGCACTTTTACGTCAAGTCAAAACATGACGTCAAACTGTCACGAAATAGAATTTCTTTCATTTTATATGTTCCAAGTGGAAGAAATATTCTGTAATAATATTTCCGTTGGAACAAATATTACAATATTTGTTCCTTACGGAATAAAGGGTATAAAATATTTGTTCCAACAGGAACAGATATTATGGCATTGTTTATAACAAAGTTTCCAGGGGGGACTTCTGTTAGGCGGAACAAATATATGTTGACAAAACGAATGAAAATTTTCAAACTGAAGGTTTTCCCGTTACGCTTACGCTGCAAATTTGTATAATATCGCATCTAAATGGAGTTTTGAGGTAGGTGTGTTTCATTTTCTATTATATTGCATTATTCGCACATTTACGGGATTTCAGCAAGTCAACATGGCGGCTCACTCCTTAGATACGACTGGACATTTGCCGATTTGACTGTGAATAGTAGCCAACGATAAAAAAAAATATATTTGGGCTGAGAACAATCAGGATGAAACAATTTTTCATAGGTTATTTAGAAAATGATTCATGCAAGACTTTAAATGTTGTGAAACTTTTAGATTAATCTTACATTGGGTAAAATAGAATAGCCAAACACACGGCACACTTACCTTCGCCTCATTCGTTTTTAGATTACCGTATTTGTCATATTGGAATCGAAATAATTTATGAGAGCCATAGATTTCTTATCATTTTCACACGACCTTGCCATATCAACTCTTCCAACAAATCTATGGCTTGAATTGATTATTACTTAAATAGAAAACTTTTGGCAAGGGATTGCTTTCGCTTATGTTTCAATTGATATAAAACTGCAACTTATCAGCTTCCCACTTGTGAACTTTCAATTTCTATGTACATGTAGCAACATTCAAGCAGCGCCTGCATATGGAGAATATATCTCACAGTTGATACCATATTCAAGAACTTGCGTTTCCTATCTGTTTTTCTCGATAGAGGGTTTATGCTCACAAGAAAGCTTTTAAATCAAGCGTTCAAAGAGGTGAAGTTGAAATCATCCCTTCTTAAACGCCATCACACTACTTGGTTGACCGTTATATAATATCTATTTCGCATAACCACAATCCCGTCCTCTTTTCCTCGAATGTGACCTATCGAATTTGACTTATCACCGGGTTTGTACCGGTATGAGCAACAAGAAGGGTGCACTAGTGGAGCAGGATATGATTACACTGCCGGAGCACCTGAGATCACCCCCGGTTTGTTGTGGGGTTTATGTCGTTCAGTATTTTGTTTTCTATATTGTGTTTTGTACCCTGTTGTTTGTCGGTTGGTATTTTTTTTCGTTTACGCCATGGCGTTGTCAGTTTATTTTCGACTTAAAAGTTTGAATATCCTTTTGATATCTGTCGCCTCTTTTTTATCCGCTTTCGTCAACTTGGTCTTTTAGACAGAATAATCTCGTCAACGTTTTAATTTCTATAACTAGAACTTCGTCTATAACATTCTTTTTCAAGTTTACTTGTATACCTACTTTCACTTTCTATGTACAATTATTCACAATGATGACTTTGTGACGCGTGAATTATCACTTACAGTTTGTATTTAAGTACGGTTTTTTTGTTTGTTTTTTTTTATCCCGATGATGGTGTCCTAGGCACTGAAACAAGTCTAGCTTATTAAAATCGTGCTGCACTCCCTAAAGTGGTGTTATCATAATAGTCTTTACAATAAATAATAGTGTATAACTTCTTATGGTCAAACAAATATGGCTTAGTAAGAAAAAGACAACACAGAACAGTTGATCACTAAAATATAAGTAAAATTCGAAGAAATGCCACTTCAAAGGCAAATACATATAAATCTTTAGCTTGGAAAACATTTGAAATACTTAAAACCTGAATGATAATGCATTTGATTTATGCATGATACATTTATTGGTGTAGCTTCAAATGAGAATACAACAGTATGATTAAGTTACATTATTAAATGTATGCATGTTAATTGTTCCATCAGTCAAATTTGTATTCAAGGACCAACTTGGTTAAGAAAAACAAATCTTGGTCCTTGAATACACAGGTCTCTTAATACAGGTTTTACTGAATAGTGTTATATTCTACAACTTATTCTATAAACTGTTGAGTTTTTACACTAAGCTGTTAATGTCTTGACTCCTCTGAAACTCAGATTTAAGGTGGACTGTGTATTACCTTTTGCAAATAATAGAGGCATGTTATTGTATGGAATTAATTTGAAAAATAATAATTTCAGTTTATACCATTCTTTAGGGAAAACTGATAAAAAAAAGACTACTGCTTTACTCTGAATGTTATCTAATTACAATTCAAATTATGCAATAAACATTTCATTTATCATCTATTTTAGAAAATTCAAAAGTGTCGAGGATTGTGTATCTCAAATCAAAACAAAGTGTGACGATATTAATACGGCTCAAGCACAGCAAATCATAAAGGGTATTGAGGCAGCTGTTAGTTTGACTGACTTGATGTGTGGAGCTGAATTTAAAGCAGGTAAATTTATAGTTTATCTTTAATGAAATGGTTTCTTTTAAATTGTATACTGTAATTGTTGATATTTTTCTTGATTGTAATGCCTAGACTTGTTATGTGTGGTATAAATATGCACATCGGAAGATGCCCTTAACGCCAAAATTGTTGACTTGTTCAAACTATTTGCACAAGGGATATTTTTGAGGTATTTTCTGTGATCGGAAAAGTAAGCAAAAACAATCCCTAAATGAATATTTTAACATTTAGAGTAGTCAAAATGAAGGACAAATTATGCAAAAATCAGAAGAACACTTTTTATTTATTAGAAGGAGTCGTATGCATATTTCTAAACAAAGTACTTCTGATTCTGAGAAATTATGGAGGACCCATGATCTTCGTACAAACAAACATAAGACAAAAATAAGAACAAAATTCCTCTGAAAAAACGCTTTTTAGATAATTCTTATATAAAGAATATAATTCAATCGCAAAGATAGTTATATTCCCCCTAAAAATGAGATTGAGATAATTGATTCATTTCACATTATGATTGTGATTGAGTCGAGTTAAATTTAGTCAATTGCATCAATTTTACTACAGAAATCAATTCATTCCATTGAACTAGTCTAAGAGATTGAGAAACATTAACATAGGGGGGAAAACAGGGTTGAACTCGAGTGGCCCTTAGTTGAATGCAGTTTCTGATCCACTAGTGTCACCCATGTGTTTTTCGTGACAAACGATAATTTAATGATATGTTGTTTTGGAAGACAAGACAAATGTAAATCTTCTAATTTATTGTTTCGGAAGCAAAGACATATGTAAATCTGGTAATTTGATTGGTTGTTTCGGGAGCATAGACATGACAAATGTTAATTTGGTGATATGTTATTTTGGAAGACATGACAAATGTTAATTTGGCAATATGTTGTTTTGGAAGACATGACAAATGGTAATTTGGTAATATGTTGTTTTGGAAGAAATGACAACTGAAAGTTATCCATGGATATCATGAAACACAGATTTTACAAGTTAAACTTGGCATCAGTTAAACTTTCAAAGAAATCATTTCAATTCATTAATCAAAAAAGGGATGATAACACGAATTCCAAAAAATACTGCACAGTAAAACAGACCATATAAAGCATCAACCCTCCAAAAACACATGCGTACTTACAAAAAAACATGGTCCAGAATTCTTGACCTTTTACTAGTTTATTCAAAAATTCAAAGTTTATTTTATAAACCGAAAAGAAAACATTGTGTGTATAAAAAGGACAAGAATGCTAAAGATTTTCACCTTTAATTTTAAACTATTTGTTTCAATGTGTTGCAGACATTATATTTTCAAAAATATTTTGTGTAAACAGGTTTTCTGAAGCATGGTATGGAGTGCTTTGATAAAACATCCCTCAAAAATGCAACTCGAGATAAATGTGCAAGCATGACGGCTCCAAAACCAGAACCAGAATCTTCATTTCCATCTCCCGAATCAAAAGCTCGGGAATGTCAGTAAGTACACAAAGTATTGTTGCATAGCATTGAGATAATGTTTGTCTCGCTTGTGACAAAAGTTGCAGAATACGAGACATTACAACCCGGGGGCAGTGGCATCGGCGTTAATTATTTGTAAAAACTTTATATGTCAGAAGGTAAGACTACCTGGATTATTGATACCTTATATGTAGATACCTGAAGTTACAAACTTTCCGTCTGTCACATGTCAATGGTTCTTGACCTCAATTTCATGGTTCAGTGACTGACTGTCAAGTGAAATACGTAACTTTATTTAGTATATGGATTCCTTGCGAGTCACCTGACCTTCACTTCTTTTTATGGATCAGTAATCAAGGTTAAGTTTGTTGCATTTTAGTGAATTTCAAAAAGAAATAGGTAATGTAACCTTTTAGGTGGTGATTACATGAATAAAGAGAAAAACAAAATAAAATCTCTTTTTATTCAAAATACAAAAAAATGAGAAGACACCAATGATTACCAATGGACAATCAAACTCGGTTAATCCTAGACAGTAGAAAAAGAAAAAACAAACACAATTTGCCAAAAAGAAGGTGAAATTGAAGTAAGGACAAACAAAGGTCTTCAAATACTACTGAGTGACAGAAAGTTAAAGATTGATCAACATTAACCCCACCAAAAAAAGAGGATGCTCTTGCAATTGAGGTATACATCATTCTTGCATAAAATATGCATAATATGAGCTGTTACACAAATTCATTTAATTTTAAGAAACGCTTGTTTATACTTTTTAACCTTTAAATTTCTTTTGAGTAAATTTTTTAACGCAAAAAAAAAACCAAAAAATTATTTCAATGTTCCAAAAAAAATTAGAAATCATACAGCAGGAATTCGGTTCTAGTCATAACTATTTCGATATGTATTTTAAACAACAAATTTTACATATGGGAGAGGATGAATATTAAAAAGACGTTTTGTTTAGTATTTCCTTTTCCTCTGGGCGATCCCGTTTTTTTTTATAGATCGAAGACTTCAATGTGTCAATATCTTGGAGTATAATCAGTTATGCTCTTGTTTATATTGTATTCATGTCAATATAATCTGTTAAATTGTCGGTACATTATACTTTTAGGCGTACAACGTCGATGTTTGAATGTTATGCCCAGCAGGTTGAGGCTGAGTGTGGAGATGAGGCAGTAATGTTTTTTAAAAAACTTGAAGGCAGATACATGAACTCTATACTCGGAAACCTTGGTTGTCAAACAAGTGGTAATTACATCATACATGTATTGTTATATCTGAAAAAAGGAAACATGTTTAAAATGCATTATATGATCAGGAAATAAGTAGATATTGGTTGTTCTAGATTAAGAGGGAAAGGTTGAGACCTTAAAGACAAACTAATGTAAACCTGCCACGTCTTTCTATGCCAAGGAGATGAATGTAAAGTTTTACGTACTGACAGGTACTAATATATCATTTACAATATGTTAAAAGATATCATTGAAAGTGTTATCTGATTACACATCAGCAATTGTAGCTGTACTCTCAAAAAACATGATGTTCTTCTTAAATATCGGTAACTTTTTTTTATCTCTGACGTAATGTCCTACATATTCTTCAAAATATCCTGATATACTAAATACTTTTTCCATTCCACATGTTAATGTTTTAAGTTTATTGAAGTTACTCAGTAAATAAACTGTCCTGACAATTGTTTTTAGCCTCAACTTTACTATCAATAAATGGATAGTGATAACTTATTCAGATTGATTAATGTTTCAGTATATTAAGTCTTAATAGCATTAGCAAGGCCATAAGTATGACGTGCAAACTTTATCTCATTTAAATCTTTAGTTCTAAATCATAAAAACAAATACATTTCATCCTCAAATCATATGAATTATTTTTACCATATTTGGATACCTTACAAGTTATCCCAGGATAGAAGAAGTTTTACCATCTCATTTCCCTTATAAAAATAGTTCCCAATGGAAGATATATGCTGGATGATGAAATATTCAAGAATTTGTTCCTAACGTAATAAAGGGTATATGATAAGCGTTTCAACATGAACAGATAGTATAGCAATGATATTTTACAGAGTTTGTAGAGGCACTTCTGTAAGGTGGAACAAAAAAGATTCGGTCAATTTAACAGCTTTCTAAATATTTTATTCCAAGTTTAACTGCATAAAAACCAGGTATATCATGAAATGTACATGTATCACCTTCTTTCTAAATGCCAATTTTCAACCAATGTTTACAAGCTTGTAATAAAATACTACCGTTCGGAAGTCAAGAACTACTAAAAACAACCCTTGGTTTTCTTAAAATAGGTATACTATGGAGTGCATGATTCCTTAATTTGTAATGCAAACTCATGTACAAGTAAAATTTTGCGCAAAATGATCTACTTATTTTTCACTTTCACCAACAGTTTCATCTCTGCAAATTTGTTTGTTATTTTAAGTAAACAATAACATCAAAAGCACTTTTTTTTTGGTCAGGGAAGAGTAACTTTTACATATTTTCTAAATTGAAGTGGGTGAATTGGTGGGCTGATACCTAAGATGGACAAAAAAAATTGTAACAATACGATGACGTAACCTCACAGTTGCATCAAACAACGTCTTGATAAGTCTCTTGAAGAATGAAAGCACAAAAAGTTAAAAATATATGATACTAGTAATGCTATTTAAAGAGGATTATGTGATAACATTATTTTGGAAATATGTTATTATATCATGATATATGACCTTGACTTATGACTTTTATAGAGACAAAGAGAATAGTTTTCCTTAGTTTTACTAATTTGTAGCCATCAGTAGAAACAACTTTTTTCTGTGTGTATTTCAGATAAGTGCTTCCTTAAACATATTTCTAAAATCAATACCGTTTATATAGCCTTTCTCATAATATACCACAAGTATTGATGTTAGTTCATTTGAGTCTTTGATCAATTTTATTTGTATTTTAAAGGTAATGTCAGACTAGCAGCACAGCCATCAGCATCCTTATTTTTTCTGTTGGCAGCTTTCTTCATGTACTAGACGATCTTTGATTACCATCAGATGGCTAGTAAAATAGACATCAATGACAGAAACAGTATAAACGAAGGTTTCCAGAACAAATATTTTGGTTTTTTTTTTATTTTCAAACTTTCAATGATATTCTATTGTTCATTTAATAGATATAAGAAAATGTGGTATGAGTGACAATGAGACAATTCTCCATCAAAGTCACAATTTGTAAAATTAAACCAATATAGGTCAAAGTACGGTCTTCAACACGGAGCCGTGGTTCACACCGAATAGAAAGCTATAAAGGGCCCCAAAAATGACTAGTGTAAAACCATTCAAACGGGAAAACCAACCGTCTAATCTATATAAAAAACGAGAAACGAGAAACACTTATGAACCACATCAACAAACGACAACTACTGAACATCAGATTCCTGACAAGTTTCTTTAACTGATCTTGAATAATTTGAAGTCTAAATCTTTTTACCAAAAAACTAAAATGACGTGTATTATTTCACTGCACAAGGTAGATAATATGTGGAAGAAGAAAATGCAAAAAAGTGATTTTAGCCTGAAAAGTAATCATTAAAAGGGATTGTACAGCCATACGATATGGAATGATATATTGTTATTGCATTTCAGTTTAATTTAAATGATAATATTTATTCAAGGGTTTCAAAAAGTAAAATAAAAAAAAATACCGAACTCCGTGGAAAATTCAAAACGGAAAGTCCCTAATCAAATGGCAAAATCAAAAGCTCAAACACATCAAACGAATGGATAACAACTGTCATATTCAATGGATACTTCATTGATACAATTTCTAGCAATGACTTTTACTTCAGGTTCTGGTGATATGTGATTCCTTTGTAGATTCCTATGCAACATAGATTTATATTTTATGTTTATCGTTTCCTCTTTTAATAAAGAAATTCTGTAAATGTATTTCTTGAATTGTTTTTATACAAACAATGTATTTTTTGCAATGGTTCATAAAATATCATAGATGCCAAGGACATTTCAAGATCATATAAGATAAAATACCTAGACATCATTTAATGACACTAGCATCACTCTCAAGCAAAGTTGACCTTTAATGGATTTGGCCATTCTTTTTATGTCCTTGATAGAACTCATACATGACTGGTACCTTGTTGGCTAGCATGTAAAACACTCGATACATCGTGACGGTCAAGTCAAAGCAGTGTTATATTTGCTTGATATTAACATATATTTGTCCTGAATGTGTCATTAATAGTTGGAGACGGACATAAGACATCCTTCAATGAATATATCATTCAAATCGGGTACAGTATATTTACGAAATGTAAAGAAAGCGAAGAGTGGGTGGCATTTTTTAAAACAGGCATCAAATTTTGCATGCCTTTTCCGAAAAAACAATCGGTCAGCAAAGTGCTGTTCTATTGCAAATTTAAAAAAAAAAACAGAAAATTGTATCTTTAAGTCTGTGATGAAAACTTATAAATCCTGCATGGCAGCCTAAATATTGTTCATCTTTCATGGACTATTACTTTTCTAAACTTATACTTTTTGAATCCATAAGAATTATGTGACAAATGACAAAAATGATATATTGTAAGGGGACGACCATCTGATATACTGTCAGGGGACGACCATTAGATATACTGTCAGGGGACGACCATCTGATATACTGTCAGGGAACGACCTTCTGATATTCGGCGATGAAGAGGGTGGCAGGAGGATTCTTGAAATTAGCCTTCTGAAGAAAAACATCAATTTGCCCAAGACAGGATGAAAATGAATATTTTGCGCAAAACCATGCCAGGAAATAATTGTGAACGAAAGTGAAAAAACGCGCAAATAACAGGCGGATAACAGTCTTAATAATTTGATACTTAGTTTTGCAACAACCGAACTGTTTCTTACTTATTTTTCATTGTACAATATGACGTCATTGATTATTCTCAATGCTTGGACTTCTTCGCATAGACAGGTCAACCCCTGAAAAAATCTAAGTGTCTGTTTTTGTTTTTTTCTAAGACTCTTTTCATGTTAGTAAATAACTTAGCAGAAGCAATGTTTAATAAAGGAAGAAAAATCTACATGAAAATTAACATTTTATAGAACTACAAAAAGATGTTTTCATAGGTTTCTATACCAACAAGCCTATCATATGTCTAAGTTCATTGAACCGTAAAACCAGCGTCAAAATTGTAATTTGTCATTCAATTTTAAAAGGTCACCTCACAATGACTATATATACTAAGTTTCAAATTAATGTGACCTAAAGGTCATGGTAAACAATGTTAACCAATCATTTTTAACCTGGAATGTACTAATATGAAACGTTCACATTTCTAGGTTACATGTACGTCAACCGTGTAGTCAGGGTCAAAACCCTTATTTGTCTGTAACTATGAAGTTCACATTATAATGAACTATACTGAATTGTGACTTTGAGATGAAGAACAGCAATAAAAGCGCTGTTCCTTTTCTTTCTGTGTATTTTGCTGTGCATGTTCTGATTTTGTGTGATGGAGGGATACCCAATATCCTTTTTTTTCTATAATATATTCCTAAATTGTAAATTAATATACCACACCTTCATGATAAAATACTTAAACCAAAACAATAACCTGATACATGACAGATTAACAACCGGACGCAGAGAACAAAAAGCAGAAGACCCCCATCCATCGTTGAGGGTCTTAAAAAAAGAACGTAACAACATAATAAGCTCTTCATCATTTCAGATAGCAAATAAAAATTTTGGTCACTGCTTTGTTAAAAATTTCTGTATCATTATTGAATTTTACTTTTGTCATTGATTAGGAGATATACTCGTGATTTCAATTGTTTTTCTGTCATGTGGTTTTCATTCTTATTTTAATCAAACAATTGTCAAAATTTGAGTATCTTATACAATTGTTGTGAAATTTTGAAAAAAATGTTAACAATTATGTCCGCACCAGTTAGAATTTCCTGTTTTAAGATTTGCGCTGTTTGACTTGGTGCGATGTAGTGCTTTTAAAACATACTGCATAGACATCTGAATATTGTTGAAGAATATATGTAGCACTTAGGTGTCTTCTAATTATTTCTGTCAGTTCGTTGCTTTCTCGTTGGTATATTTTTGCTCATATATTTTAAGCTTAATCATTTCTTTGTTTATCATTCATGTTCAGGTAATCAGTCTTAAGCTAAGAAGTATGCTATATTGTATAGAGTGTCTTTGTGAATATCAGTTTTTGTTCATTACTTTTAAGCAATTTAAAGATTTATCAGCATGTCGAAAAATTAAACTATCTTCTTAATAAAGAATTATATTTTTAGTTTTTACAAGATTTTGCCCAACATCAAACAGCAGTCACATTAAGAATCATGTCCGTTTTCTCATCTTAAACTATACGAAAGAGGTTAAGTCATGCACATTTATGTTTTAATTCTCTGATCTTCCAAACTAAACAGTTTATTATTTATTAATATTACGATCATAACCATCAAAAAGTGCTTTACATATGACTTTATAACAGTGGTTGCAGAGCAACTTGTTATTGTCAACCTTATACACGACCATACCTTTAATGTGAAACAACAATGTCATTTAACTATGACAATGTCATTAGCACTGTTCAATCATCACCGCACTTCAAACATTGTTTCTATGGGATAGTTGATTGGATAATAGTGGCAAGGCAATTTGTCACGCCGTCATACAATAATTTGCTATCTGCATGTCTGTGTCTATAATTTTCCTATTGACACGATGTTGCCCGAGAACACAATTATTTCGTAGTGTATTTCTTTTAGACGTTAATTGCAAATTAAAAAAAAATTGCAACTAACCTTTTTCGATAATCTTTATACAGTACACCAATTATATCACAATAATAGAAAACTTCACCAGCTTTAACTCAAAATGTGACAATTTTATGTTAAGGGGTCTTGAATTCTGTTTAAAAGCTTCAGGCATACTAATTTTTAACTTTTTCAACTGGACCAAATCATTTTACTTTAAAATTCATTAAACATTTTTTTTGTTTTTGTGCATAAATTAAAAAAAAAATGAAAAAAGATTTAAATTTTCGAACTATACGGCTTGCATTATTTTAAGCATTCATGTTCATATCAAATAAATAGAGGTTTCAACAATTCCTGCCTAAAATTTCTACATTGTTGAAAATGGAACGACAATTTATGAAGGCGTAACCAACTGTCATTGGTATCCAATCAGCTTTCCTGTTGGATAGCGTTTAAAGTGCTGATGTTTAAACGACATTCGTCACATTGTTATATTGTTTAATATTAACATCAAAATTCGGTAAAGTTGTGAAATGTCAATTCGTAGTAATGTTGATTTCGACAAGTTGCTTTGTACCACTGTCTGTTATTGAGTATATTATACCGAAAAACAGAATTTTCATAAAAATCCAAATACAACATTTAGCCTCGAGCAATAGTGGATATAGCACGGGCAACAAACTTGCAATCACCATCATTACAAGTCAATAAGTGTAAAAAAAAAGATAACACCGTTTCATTTGTATCGTAGTTTTTAAACGAAACATGCTTGAAAACGAAATTTGAAGAAACAAAAATAGCGTATCACATAGTCGCATTCTCTTTGAAACACCGAAAACTTGATCTTATCAATGTTTGTCCCATTTCAGCAAGAACGTTCTGGTAAATAGTGATAATGAAAATAAATTACGATAAAATCTAAATCAACATATAATGTAATCATTTCTCTCCTAAAATACACAAACAATAAGTGTAGCAGGCTATATGAAATTTGTATGAAATTGATTTAAAATGTTGCTTTGCGAATAAATTCCTGGAGTACCAACTTCAATTTATCTTTTTTGATATTTTTCGGTCAATTTTCAGACTAACTTTTGCTGTTATCTCAGTACTGTACAGACGATTCACTTGCAGTCAATTTAGATCTGTTCAGTCTATGTTCAGACGATTCACTTGCAGTCAATTTAGATCTGTTGAGTCTATGTTCAGACGATTCACTTGCAGTCAATTTAGATCTGTTGGGTCTATGTTCAGACAATTCAGTAGTGGTTATTTACCTGTACAGACCATAGAACATAGATTAAACATTACCAAACCTACCTCACAGGTATTTGTGATTGCTTGAAATACGATAATTGCAAGTCACATCAGGTTGATGCCAACATGGTGCATAATCAATATGGTGAATACATGTACTACAAATATTAAAATTATAGCTAACCTATTCAAAATATATAGCGTTAGTAAACGTACATATTAAAATAAGACATTTAAATAAAAAGGTAAGATTAAAAATACAGAAATATCAAACTTGCATATACAAATATACTGAAATACCACTTTATATAAAAAGAATAAGGAGATATTGTATGATTGCCAATAAGACAACTATCCATCAAAGTTCAAATAAAGTGGATGCAAGCAATTATAGACAACGGTACGGCCTTCAACAATGAGAAACCCCCATACCGTATGGTCGGCTATAAAAGGCCCCGACATGGAAAATATGAAACAATTCAATTGAAAAAACTAACGGCCTAAACACACTAGCCAAAATAATCAACAAGACTAGAATTTGATTCTTATTTTTAATTTTTTTTAGTACTTTTGCATGCACAAGAAGAGTATTCAAAAGTTCATATACTCCTTGCATATTAGAAAATGTAAAAAATTCAATAGGACCACAAGGAATTGATTCTAAAAACAGATCTAAAAAGTTCCTGTCTCCAATAATAATAGTATTATTTCTTATTCAAAAAGTTTGTAATGCATATTTATATATATATTTTCTATATTGTTCAAATATTTTTGTAAAAGACTGAATCTCAAAACCGGATGCAATTTGATAGAAGCCTCTATTATGACATTATGTGGAATGATAGTATTTACTTTTTGTACCTTAAAGTATCATTGGACAAAAAATCCAGCATCTTATGAACATA